TTGTCGCGCTGCTGATGACGTCACGTACGCGCTTTGATCGGGCGCGCTTTAGTGGACCGCGGTTTTGACGGGTCACGGTTCTACTTACTTTTGCAGGCATGCTCAGTAGTAGGCTCCGCCCACCCGCCCGGATGTCACTACATCCGTTTTTGACACTCTGTGCATGCACAGAAAGTCCTGCGCATGCACGGAGGTGGCACGTACGCTCATATTTGCGAACAGGGAGCGAAGGTAAGTAGATTTCACCCCTGGGTCTGACCTTTACAAACTAGCAAAGAAAAAATATTTCCTTTGATCTGGATTTCATGTTTCTCTTAAGCAATTCCAAGACAGCATTTGTCTTGTTAGCAGGCACATTACATTTCTAGTTCATGTTTTTTTGGGATGACAAGGACACCTACATATTTTTCCCAAGTACTTCTGCCACGCTCCCCCCTATCCAGTACTTGTGTCTTACATCAGCTGCCATGTCCAAGGCACTTTTGCAAACATAGCCTGATGAATAATGGACACCCACCTCATATTCCAAATCCCTTCATCTAGCCTAAGAGCAGTGCCTCCTGGAAATATTCTGCTTTCCTCAGGATGTGCCTAATCCTTTAATCACTCCTGGGAAATACAGGCCAGCTGGTTGACAGTAAAGTGTCCATTAAACATTAGCACTCAGTTGGTAATTCTTCAGCCTGTCTTCTGTTACCCAAGGAAATAAGGAAGTACAGTTCAGTAGCAGAGCACATCGATTGCATATAGAAGATCCATCCTCTACTCCAAAAGGCTTTATGCTTGAATTCCTAGGTTGTGGTTGTTGTTCTGAATAGCAATACTGTGCTGGATGGTCCTACTATGTATGATAACATCTGTGTTGTATATCATCATTGACTGGAAACTCTCATGCCTATTTTCCCACCTTTTTTGGCCTACAAGATCACGGCAAGATTATTAACTGTCCAAAATGCTAAAGCTGTAGATGCATTTATCCTTGAATGCTAAAGCAGTAAACAGTAACAGAGTTGGAAGTGACCCTGGAGGTCATCTATTCCAACCGCTTGCTCACGCAGGAGACCTGCAGAATTATATTCCCAGTCGAGATTCAAAGAAGTAAAAGCATAAGGTAAAGCCTAGACAGTTTTTTCCTGTCCAGAAAGCAAAGACCGTAGTTTATGTCATGGAATTAATTTTAGCACTGTGCTATGTTGAGGTGGGCCTTAATTGCTGGAGCTCCTGGCCTCCAATTGACCGTGCAAAATCTCCTCAATTCTGATTACAAAAGCCACTCTATGTATTCCTGAGTGTACCATCCCATTCAAGGGGTAGCCAAGCACTACGTTCCACACACAGACTAGCTAAAACATTGGGTCTCTCCTTCAACTTGTGTATTTCTGAAAACAGCATTGGCATTAATGGAATATGCTTTTTCTCACCACCAGAATTTGACTTTTGAGCATCAGATATAATACCGTAGGTGCCTCATCATGTATTCTTGCCCCATATGAAAGACCTGGGGCATACACTTTATTTTTAATATTTTCTTTTTTTACTTTCCCATTTTCAGGAATGAATCTCTATCCTGAGTGTTCATTCTGGAATTAAAAAGTGGAGCAACGTTTGCTATAATCAAGCATAACTTTCACAGGTTATGCGATTGTATTAGATTTGTATGATTGTCATAACTTGTTAACAGAAAGCACAGGGAAAGCTTTTGTTGGGAAAAAGAACAACAACTGGAAAGAACCAGGTTGGGAAATAAAATTATGATCAGAGATAGATTTGTGGTTTGATATGTTGGCTACCCATTTTTATTTCAATGCAGTTACTAATTAGTATTGTCTTCTCAGCCACCAAATCTGGTTTCAACTGTCTGGATCAATATTCTGTAAAAAAAACTCAAAATGATAGACTTTAGATTATATTAAGCTTTACATAAAGTTTTATCCGTAGTGCATTCTATTGGGTAGTTTTCTGAAATATAACTGGCTATTTTACCTTTTTAACCAATAGGAAATCTTGTGGTTATTTAACCCAGTGCATTTGTTAATGCACAAGCTTTTGAGACTTGTAGTTGATTTCATTGGCTGTGTGATCTGGAGGCCTCAGGCTACAAAAGCCACATTGTGGGCTTAGCATACCATGCATTATGATGTTTGTAATGAACGAAGAACAAAGCAAAATTAACACATCACATGAACTACGCCATTATACACAGGTAGTCCTCAGCTTACAGCTGTTTGGTTAAAGATGATTGAAAGGCATGACTGCCTTCAACAATGTGCTTTACAACCTTTGCACTTTTAACTGTAGCATCACCTCCACAGTCCTGTGATAGTAGTTAGAGTGCTTGGCAACCAGCCTCCATTTATGACTGGTTGCAGCATCTTACGGTCACTTGATCACAGTTTGCTAAATGACTGTGCTAAAAATCATCACAAAATCGAGTCCAGTCGCATGATGGTTCAACTTACTGACTTACGACTGAAATTCCAATCCCAATTGTGATCATAAATCAAGAACTACCTTTATACAGACCTAGAATTGTTGAAATGGAATTTTAAGATTGCAAAATGAAGGAGCTATGCTTGTGAATGATACTACTGTGACTTTCTGCTCCTAATTGCAGAATAATGCAGTTGTCTACTTCCTGAATCATAAGGGCTATAATTTTTCAGTATTTCATGTGTCTTTTATACTTCAGAGAGCTTGCTGTTTTAAATGAACATAAGCCTCATTGGAGTCAAGGTCAGCTATTAAGTAGCTACATGGAGATTTCCATATATATTTTTTTGGCAGTAATACAGGAGTGATTTGTAGTTATCAATCTCCAGGTTATTGCTGTTATTTAACTTCCCGGTCTAGTCTTTAGCCCTGCATTTTCTTCATGGTCTTTCATCCACATGGTAACTAGGTTTGACTCTACGTAGGTTTCTGACATTCATTCAAGGTCAGCTACTGCTGCACCTAGTACAGCAATACAGTAGGAAAGCTATAATTTATCCAGAACTACCCGAACATTGCAGTAGATCCTGACTTAGTCATTTAGTATTATTTTTTAAAGTATTGAAGAATGAAACCTAAGAGAAGTCCATGTTGGTTAAAAACATGTATATTCCCAGCCATGGTTTAACTGTAGCTTCTTGAATGCCAAACTTCATTATGTAATCCATAATCAACCTAAAAGGGTATCTTATGTCCTGTTGTGAGATGAATCCAGTTGTACTTTCTCTTCTTATTAGTGACATTTTTCAGAATGTGCTCCTGACTGACTTTCCTTCACCATCTTTCTTTTTTTTCTTATCCCAGGCCTATGAACTTTCCACCCTTACGGGCACTCAAGTGTTGCTACTTGTGGCCAGTGAGACAGGCCACGTCTATACTTTCGCCACACGGAAACTGCAGCCAATGATCACCAGCGAGACGGGCAAGGCACTGATCCAGACATGCTTGAATTCTCCTGACTCCCCTCCTCGGTCGGACCCAACCAGCGATCAGCGCATGAGTGCTACGGGCTTTGAGGAAACGGACCTTACGTATCAGGTGTCTGAGTCGGACAGCAGCGGAGAAACAAAGGTATCCCCAATTTCTACCTTAGCTTCTCAGTCTTGGGAGAGAGAAAGAGCTACTAACATTGTTGCTCCCTGCATGTGCTTCAGTGTAGTAGACCTGCGTGTTACCAGCTTAACTGCAAGGACCAGACGGTTTCCTTCATTGCGTTTTGCACCAATGAAGTCTAGCGGTGTAAAAGTTAATTCCCCTTGCAAGGTTTTTTTTTGAAGGAAAAAAAATGAGATGTTCTGCAGGATGCAGTATATTAGGAGCTGTTAGGACCTGGATTCTGCTGTTGGGCATTGATTTCGGGACAAGCAGTGCCCCCCTGATCACCAGCAATCCTCTCTGTACCCATGTTACCCAGCTCCAGTAAAGTTTGGCAGGGAGAAAGGCTGAAGCTGACTGAGAGTGCTTTGATTGCTCAGACTTATCTAGTGTTACTTCTCCTGGGAGGCTGCCTTCCCTTCCCCCACCACCTTCCCTGGGACCCGAGTAGATGGGCTGGATATCTGCCGAAATGGGATGGGAACAACCCATGTCATGCCTTCCTCTAATGGCAGCAGGCGTTGGGTGGCTGGGCAGGGCAGGGCAGGGCAGAATGTGGCAGGTGCTCTTTGCTTTCCTGCTAGGACCTCCTGGAGCAGCTCTGTTTTTGGTTATCTCTGCCTGGGCGTCTCTGTGCTCCCGCTCATTGATAAAAATTGGATTCTGCCTCCATGGCCATATAAGGCCTGGTTTCCTTCCCTGGAGCCCCTGGCTGGGCCCCTCACATTCCTTATAAGCTGCAGCTGTCTCTTGCTTGGTGCTGTTTTGGAAGGGGGCAGGGAGGACAGGGGGAATTGAAACACTTGGCTGAACAGACTATTCCTTCTTTCTCTCCGAGTGTCCAGCCAAATACTCTGCTAGCTTAACTCTTTACTTTCTCCACAGTAACTCACACAGCATTACTAGAGAAATGGGGTACCCAGGGGACATTGTGTGCGTGTTGGTGTGTGTGTGTGAGGGAGAGCGAGAGGGAGAGAATACCTGCCTCTCTTGGCAGGAAAGAGCAGTTGTTTTGGATGACTCCAAGATGGAGAAAAGTTCTACGTGCTTTTCCTCAGTATCAGCCTTAAAACATTAGGCGTCTTCATACCGCTTAAATTATCTCTGTAAATCTGTGTCACAAAGTTGTTTGCTACCTCAAAGATGACCTCAGCCTGTTAATGCCAACAGTTGTGTTATCTCACTTTGCAGGCTAAAGAGGCAGCGTTTTGCCAGATCCCACATGATGAATTCTGTGTTCTTTGCTATTACTTCAGAGTTTCACCCTCTTTCCCGGTCTTTATGGCTGTGGCCAGCACAGCTCTTTCACGTGGCCTGCTACCTGACTGTTAGCAGGAGATGCCAGAGACTGAATCCAGGAACTTCAGAATGTTTTACCCCCAAGCCAACATCCTTCTCTTCAAACCTGAAAAATCTTTTCTCATTCTCGGCAAGCATGTAGGCAGGAGATAGGAAATGAAACTCCTGTAATAGCTTTTTTAGAACCCACACAGCTGTCTGCCTTGGCTTGAGACAGTTGTCAGTTGCACGAAGCAAATGATTCCTCTAAAAACCAGCCCTACTTATATTGCCTCTGGCGACTGTTCAGGGGAGACACCCCCCCCCNCACCAAGATTTTGAAGAGGTAAATTTTAAAAAAAGTTTTTGCACTCTGCAGGCCTCCCAAACCCTCTGCACGCCTCATTTTTTGTGAAAAATGGGGCATGCAGAGAGTTTGAAAGGCCTGCAAAGTGGTCCTGGGGACCGGGGGGGGGGGCAAAATGGGCCCTTTTTTTGCCAAAAACAGGGCACGCATAGCCTTTAGGAGGCTTGTAGAGTACTCCTGGGGGCTGGGAGGGGGGAGCAAAAATGGCCCATGTTTTGCTCATTTTTGCCCTCCCCAGTCCCCAGGACCACTTTGCAGGCCTCCAAAACCCTCTCCACGTCCATTTTTGTGAAGGGTGGGGGGTTCGGGAGGCCAAAAAAGCTGTATTCAGTGTTTAAGACGCACCCAGATTTTCTCCCTCTTTTTTGAGGGGGGGGAAATGTGCATCTTATACTCCAAAAAATATGGTATGTATATAATAGATTTTGGTTTTAGCAAAGCATTTGACAAAGTAGCTTGTCACATTCTGATCAGCAAGTTATGTTTTGTTTTGTTTTGTGTTGTTTTGTTTGTTTATTTGTTTATTTCCCGACATTATTTTTACAAATAACTCATATGAAGTGAATTGGGCTGAGACGGGTGACTGGGTCAAGGTCATCCAGCAGGCTTTAATGGCTAAGACAAAACTAGAACTCGCAGCCCTGTTTTCTAGCCTGGTGCCTTAACCACTAGACCAAACTGACTCTTGTTGAATAGGCTGACTGGCATATCTAGTTTGCATATCTATACCTGACATGGTCATTAATGTTTTGTTTATCAAATCTGCAGATAGCACATAAATGGGTGGGATATTTTATATGGTTGCAGAGGAAATAATATTCAAAATTATTAGACAAGTGGACTGAAAATAACAGCCTGAAATGTAACCATAGCATAGGTAAAACACTGATGGAGTAGCAATACAACAAAAGGAGTTCTCTGTCTCTCTCTCTCTCTCTCTCTCCATCCCTCTTTCTCTCCCTCCCTCTCTTTAAATTCGATGTCTATCTATTTTTCAGAACTATAGAAATTTCTAAAATTATGAGTGTGGAAACGATTCTATCATGGGATCTTTTGACCCTGACCAGGCCACTCCCAAGTGTTAGGAAAATAGTCTAAGCCCAAAATGCACATTGTAAGAATTCTACAAATAGTTGGGATTATTTTGGATCACTTCTTGAATATTTGAAATAACGTATTCTAGGGTAAGACCACTTTAGAGGTGTTCCGAAAACAGCTCTTCTGAGAACAGAATGGTTCATTGTGGGATCTTTCCGATGGAACATTCACAAGTTACCTTCATAGATGTGTCAAAATCACTGTTTATATTTCAAATTAGTTGTAGTATCAGGAAAAGGCCAGAGAGACTAGTGCTTTTGTATGCACATGCAATTATGTTCTTTCTCAAACTCTTTAACGTAGACACATATGTATCAGGGGTGGTATTCACTTACATTCCCTACCGGTTTGCAAAAGTGAGCGCACAGCCTTCTGCGCATGTGCTTTTGGCGAAAAAAGGTCCTTAATGGGATGCCCTAGAGCTGGGTGGAGTGGGCAGGGTCACCCACAATTTCCGCTACCGGTTCAGGTGAACTGGTCTGAACCAGTAGAATACCACTTCTGATATGTATAGTGAATAATCGTATCTCCCTCAATGTTGATAATGTTTTGGGCATCATCTGAAAGTGACTGACCCTGGGTAGAGTAGTGCTACTTGAGCAAGGTACCCCTTTCCCTAAATTCTGCCAATTTCTCCCTTCTATTTTGGGCTCCAGGACCATATTCTGGTGGTTCTGAGCAATCCTTCAATATACTATTAGGGATTTTTAGAGTAAGAGGATGTAATGCCCACTATGTTGCTTTTGGATCACAGCTGCTATCTTATCTTAGCTTTGTATTTATGCCTGTGTATCTGCATCCTTTTATGTCAGCAGCTTGGATTAGCAAGTTGTTTCTTTTATTTAAAGGGAGTCAGCTAGATAAAGAGAATAAGCAAAGATAAGGCATAATGCTTTGGTTTGTACATTATTGTTTTAGAGAAGTAGTGAATGGGCCAATAAATGGCCTGAGGCTTATGAGACAAGAGCATTGTTCAACAGCTTATATTTATTTATTTGTACTATATTTATATCTTGTTGCATCTGCTGCACTTCAGGAAAATAAGGGAGGCATTGTAACTAAGGGGAAGAGCCCATGGTTTTCACAAAGAAGACCCCTCTTTGCAATCTCTGCTTCTCTGGGTACATTAGAGAAAGCCCCATGTGAGGTTGCCATCAGTGTTGATAATATTAGTCATTGGTGTAATGTTGACCATGCATTGCATTCTCTTTGTTCCTCTAATATTTGTCATGAGAATTGACAAAGTTGGAGTATGTTTAGCTTGGAGAAGATGCAAGGAAGGCATGGTAGGGTTGCTGACTTCAAATATTTGAAGGATTGTCAAATAGATGATGAAGGAAATCTATTTTGTTTGGCAAAGGAATCGGTGAGACTTGATTCAAACAACTAAAAGAGTTATCCACTGAGCTTTCAGAAGAATTTCTTGATTGTTCTTAAATGGTGCATGTTGTTTGAGATTGGAATAACGTTCCCAAAAGGTGACATTCTTTTTTCTTAGATGGTCTCTAGGGCTGCCTATAAGCTGATCTTATCCAGCAGATTTTCAGCACGTAGGGAGGAAATGGTTTATGTAGCTTTTGAAAGTCTTTCCAGTGGTCTGTTACAGTGATGAAAGTCATTTTTTTTACTTCCGGTTCTGTGGGTGTGGCTTGGTGGGTGTGGCAGGGGAAGGATACTGCAAAATCTCCATCTCCTCCCCACTCCTGGGGGAAGGATATTGCAAAATCTCCATTCCCATCCCACTCTGGGGCCAGTCAGAGGTGGTATTTATTGGTTCTCCGAACTACTCAAGATTTCCGCTACCAGTTCTCCAGAACTGGTCAGAACCTGCTGAATTTCACCCCTGGTCTGTTACCTTTATAACCTTGTAAGTTTGCTTATTTCTGGATGCCATTATTTGAAAATAAGTACTGTTCGTTGTGGCCTTTTAAGCAATTCTGTATGGCCAGCTCTTTATAATTATAATACAGTATGTTCCAAGGTTTCTAATTGCTCAGTTATTTCCTCGGACATTTACCCTGATTTGCACTAAATCCAACAGAACTGCATATTTTGTCCCGATTGGAAAGGAACTACACATTTGTTCAATGTGAGTTAGCTCAGTGCTTCCAGGATGGGAATCATCCAACATAACTACTAATCAGAATAAGAGTTCAGTTTTGAAATTTTATGCTATGAAAAACCTATAGCCATCTCTTTGTTCTTCATAGTTTATGCGTTTTATGTTAGTAAA